CAGATCGGTATTTCGAAGTGGAGCTTCCAGATCGCCAGGTCGGTATTTCGAAATAGAGCTTTAAAAAACTTCCGTTCATGAGCGGGCACGCGGTGAACCGCATAGATCTGGCAAGCGCAAGTCAACAACCCACATTGGGACCATCATTCCGCGAGCCAGGAACAACGTACTTTAAATCCGCGAAAGACATGAAGCACAAAGTGAAGAACACCACAACACGACAGCAGTTTCAGGCACGCAGAAGTACTATAGGGGCCTAAATAATTACCTAGACTATTTTGCGGGTCCCAAATTATCATTATAGTATAATGGGCCTAGTATAATGGCCCTAAAACCCTATTCTGACTACTAAGGCCCATACAGTAGACCAAAAACACAATAGACAGGAAGTTGGCCATGGTGGTGATGATGACTCCAACGACGATGGCGAAAATGATGGAGAAGAGAAGTGTGACGTTGATGGTAGGGAAATGATGCTGACGATGATGAAGATGATATTGATGATGATGATGATGATGATGATGATGATGACGATGGTGAAGATGATGATGGTGGTGATGATGATGGTGGTGGTGTCACGCCACACCCACAATGACGGGGGACGTATCGGAATGCAGAGGATGGAGGACGGGGCTGGCGACGACCCTCGGCGATCTGGCGAGGTTGGAATCGATCCCCTACCCCACAAACAAATATATATATATATATATCCATCTATAGGTTGTTCTGGGGTTTTATAGTCGCCTGTGCGATGTTTGAAGGGTTTCATACGGTATGCGCTTCTATGAAGATTCAGGCAAACTGGGGGCTTACTAGCAATAGCACTGGCAGTACAACTAGTGGTGCTGATGAACGCTGCACTTCTACTACTTGGAGGGTCGGGGGACTTAGAAAGTGGTTATTTTATAGACTTATAAGTATCATAACCCCGATTAGGGACCCTCTTAGGGTTCTTATAAGTCTACTTATTCCCTACTTACTAAGTCCCCCGACCCTCCAAGTGCTCATTGCAAGAGCGAGATTAGTGTATCAATGAATCCTAGCTAGGATGCTACCGAAACTCACTTGGAGGCTACGTCGGGTTCACGGTCCCACAACAGGTACAAGCCTGAGGATTAAGGCTTTACTGCAACATAGAAGCCTTAACCACCAGAAAAGGGTGCGGGGGATATTTTATGGTATTGTTATGGCAAGGAGAGGGTGTGGGGGATATTTTATAGTATTGCTATGGCAAGGAACTCGAAGGAATAGTATTCACAAGTATTCACACTTCTATATGATACTGCACATTACTGTACAAAACACGAAGAATACCCTAGAAAATCCTGCATCACGGGGTAGGGGCTCTGCGAACTCCATCCATGATATGGCGGCATTGTTGCCTCATGGCGCCCGATGCCAAAAAAGACGTTGTCGAACCTTAGGCTTGAGAGTAGGGTTCAGGGTTTAGGATTTAGGGTTTAGGGTTTAGGGGTTCAGGCTTTAGGGTTTAGGTTTTAGAGTTCAGGGTTTAGGGTTTAGGGTTTCTGAACTTTACAGTAAGTGGCCAGCGGCTTTAGCATGTCTGGAGATAGGAATGCAGAAGAAAGCATACAAACATCACCGTTGGCAACAGGAATGGAGGGGTACCGAGATGTTAATCCAGAAGCGTGGAGGCAGTCTTTTTTGCAAGAGCCACCCACCCACCAACCCTTGCTCTTGCTCAAGTTCTGCACCGTACTCTCAATCATGGTACCAGTCGAAGCGGTACTCGCAGATAGCAGAAGCACAAATGGCATTGTCGCTGCGGTAGTAGGAGGAGGCGCAGTAGTAGGAACAGAAGAAGCAGCCGCAGTGGGCTATCGCTGTCTGCACTTGTAGGTCAGAGCAAGTTGTGTATTTATCAGGAAAAAAGGCCTACAGTAAGGGCCCAAGCCCGAAAACTGTACCTGATGTAGCCAGCCAGGGGGCTTGTCTGCATCGTTGATCATGTAGGCTGCCGGCCTCGCTGCAGAGTGGTAGAGTGGGAATCGTGGCATCAAGGATTGCGATGCTTAACCCCAAATTCCTACACTGGTTAAGAGCGTTGCTACCCAGGAGTGCTACCTAAAAGTTGAGTCACGATACCCTCGTTTTTGGAGGGAGCCAGTCTCAAGCAGCAGTATTTATCCGCTGGTGGGTTCTTGGCAGCAGCCTGAATAATTGGATCAGGGTTTGGGAAGTTCTGTACCCTATAACCCTAGACCCTAGTAACCCTAAACCCTAAACCCTAAACCCTATAACCCTAAACCCTAATAACCCTGAACGATGGCAGGCATCCTGAAATGGTGCTCTACTTGGAGGATCGGGGGACTTAGTAAGTAGCTCTTTTATAGACTTATAAGAATCATAACTCCAATTAGGGTCCCTTTTAGGGTACTTATAAGTCTACTTATTACCTACTTACTAAGTGCCCCGACCCTCCAAGTACGGGGACACTGCCAGGATTCAGGCTCAAAACGACCTCAAAGCCGACCCTCAACGCACTCAAGCACAGTCTAAGGGTTTAGGGTTTAGGGTTTAGGGTTTAGGGTTTAGGGTTTAGGGTTTAGGATTTAAGGTTTAGGGTTTAGGGTTTAGGATGTAGGGTTTAGTAATACATGCCCAGGTTCAGAACGGTTTGAGGCTTGGGGTTGCGGGGTTTTGTAAACTCTAATTCCTGAATTACCCAAAACCCTGAACCCTAAACCTTAAAGCCTAAACCCTAAACCCTAAACCCTAACCCGGAACCCTAAAGCCTCAACCCTAAACTGAGGACTGAGGATGTGGCACGAAGTCTTTGTGGCCCAGGGTGGTCTCCGGCACCCCCTTCCCTGGTTAGGGCTTAGGGTTTGGGGTTTAGGGTTTAGGTTTAGGGTTTAGGGTTTGGGGTTCTGGGGTTTATAGGGTTTTAGGGGTTTGCGGATTCAACGTGAAGCTGCATGGCTAGTGGTGCGGAGCTTAGCGGCTAGGGCTTTATGGTTAGGTTTAGCCCAGAGCTGCTGGAAGTGGGAACTAGTTACCGCAAAGTCTGCATAGCTAGCATGCAAAATGCAAAGTCAGTACGTGAGGTCTTGGATTTGGGTTTCCAGGCGCAGGGCTGCGGATTGTTTAAGAGAAAGGATCCCAACTCATGAAGCCCTCAAACCCTAAACCCTAAGCCCCAAACCCACTGAGTCATAAGCAACCCGCCCTTACATCTGACACCGAATGACTCAGCCAAGCTCTCATATGCAAAATCTCACCATTTTCCTGGCTCCAGAAGCACCAAACCCTAAATCTGAAACCCTGAAGCCCTGAACCCTAAACAGCAATTGAGCTTTCTAGTGCGCGGCTTCGGTGTCCCATGTCTCAACCGCAACACCTGGGCCCGAAATCCTAAGCCCTAACAGCTGCAGACTAGACCTCATCTGAGTACCAGCCCTATTACCGGCTAGTTGAGGAATAGTGCTCAAGTCACAGTAAGAAATCCGAGATACTCCATTATACTGTAGTTTGCGCTCGATGCCTTACCTACGAGGTACTGGGCCCTCTGAGACCCTGCAGCAACCCGAGATGCCTAATATAGGGGCCTTGATAATTAGAATGGGATTTGGGGGATATATTATACCATAAACATTCTAATGATCCCCAAAAACCCTGAACCCAAAACCCTATTTTAACAGAATGATAACGGTAACGTTAACGATTATAGAAGCCATAACAACAACTAAAAAAGTGCACTCCCACAGCGACCCGGACTCTATTTTAATCATTAAGCCCCCTACATTAAACCATGCCAAAGGCAAGGCACGTCGCAAGAAGTCCTTGGAGAGGAATGTCGCCGACACAGCTGCCCTGTTTGTCTTCGGGTTAGGGTTTAGGATTTCGGGTTTAGGGTTTAGGGTTTAGGGTTTAGGGCTTAGGGTTCAAGGCTGAGGTTCGGGCTGTGGGGTGCTTGTTGGGGTTCAGAGGGCAACGTTCTGTGTATGCTTGATACTAGAATCCGGCATAGGCGGAAGTACTCTATCAAATTGAATCGACTGATGTCGCCGTTGATCTACCATTGACGCCAGCCGTGATGCGGCCACTCCGACAAATTTAAAGCTCTTCGGTGTCTAAGCGGTTTTAGGTACCACACAAATTTCCTGTAACACTCCACCCTGAAAAGCAACTCGCCCCTCCGGGCACTAGTTCGTCATTAGACTTGCTGAGTTCTCACGCCTGGGCAAACGGCCGACCAACACATTGAACGCCCTAAGAAGCACCATGGTGCAGGGTGTAGGTTTGTCGGGGCTTGCAACTTTCAGGGCCTAGGCTCTTTCTGCGACACATTAACTCACACTCCCCTTTCACTGCATTTTCCACTCTAGTCCCCTCTGGAATCCTTGCCAAGAGCCCACTACATCTGAGGCATGGAATCTCCGACTGCATTCCCTAAAACAAGATAGTACCCTTGAGAGAAACCCTTATAGAAACCCTTGTAGATCCCTTTTATGGAAACTCTTACAGAAACCCTTGTAGATCCCTTTTAAAGAACCCCACAGGGTACCCTTATAGAAACCGTTATAAATCCCTTTAAAAGAACCTTTACAGAAACTCTTATCGAAAAACGTATATATCCCTTCAAAGGAACCCTTACAGAAACCATTACAGATCCCTTTTTAAGGATTCCTACAGGGTACCCGTATAGAAACCTTTATAGATCCCTTTAAAGGAACCCCTGTAGAAACCCGAATCGGAACCCTTAAAGGTCCCTTTCAAGGATTCCTAAAGAGTACCCTTATAGAAACCTTTATAGATCCCTTAAAGGAACCCCTCTAGAAACCCGAACCGGAACCCTTAAAGATCCCTTTAAGGAACCCCTGAAGGGTTATAGAAACCCTTATGGGAACCCTTATAGGAACCCTTCAAGATCCAGTTAAGGAAGCCTAGAGGTGACCCTAATATAGGGGCCTAAAGAACTACCAGTACTATTGTGGGGGGCTCCTTATAATTTTAGTATAACGGGCCCCCAAACCCTATTCTAATTATTAAGGCCCCTACATTATAGAAGCCTCTTATAGTAAATCCCTCATAGAACCCTTTAAAGGAACCCTTTAAAGGAACCCTTTAAGGATCCCTTTAAAAGGAACCCTTTAAGGAACCCTTTAAGGATCCCTTTAAAAGGAATCCTTTAAGGAACCCTTTAAATGATACCTTTAAAAGGAACCCTTAAAGGATCCCTTTTAAAGGAACCCTTTAAAGGAACCCTTTAAGGATCCCTTTATAAAAGAAACCCTCTTCTAATCCGAAGGCTCGGCCTCTGGATGTTCTCCCAGAAATCCTGCACGGAGTCGGCTCCTGCACCGAGGACTTGTCGGAGCCATGGGACTTTTATTCGGGCTCTTGTTGTTTAGGGGCTTTAGGGCTTCGGGCCTAGGGTTTAGGGCTTTAGGGCTTTAGGGTTGTAGGGCTTTAGGGTTTTAGGGTTTAGGGGTTAGGGTTTAGGGTTTAAGGTTTAGGGTTTGGGGTGTTTCTTCCGAGCTTTGTTTAAACTGCTGAACTCAAGGGCAAGGCCCTACACCGACAAGCCAAAAAAAACCCGAGTTCTTCAGACCCTGAAGCCCTGAAGCCCTACTTGGAGGGTCGGCGGACTGAGCAAGTAGTTATTTTATAGACTTGCAAGTATCATAAACCCAACTAGAGTCCCTTTTGGGTTACTTATTTGTCTGCTTACGACCTACTTACTAAGTCCCCGACCCTCCAAGTAAGCTTTGAGGGCCTAAACCCCCAACGCCTTAAGCCACGAAGGTGAACCAGCCCAAACCCTAACCTCAAAACGCCACCCCCAGAAACCTAGAGCCCAAACCCGTAAATCCAAAACTAACATTACCCCCCTCCCCCCCGAAAAAATAGGAACATCTGAGCCCCAAACCCTGCCGCCCCCGAAACCCCTTAAGCGCCTACAACCCTGAGCATGGGGTGCCTGGGAATTTGCCGGAAAATCCTGCGACAGCCATCCGCGGAGCCTCTCAAAGACATGTACTGAGGGTTTAAGGCTTTGGGTTTTGGGTTTTGGGTTTAGGGTTTAGAGTTTAGGGTTTAGGGTTTAGGGTTTAGGTAGGGTTTAAGGCCTTGGGTTTAGGGTTTAGGGTTTCCCAAGCTTGAAGCCCGAAACCTTACAGGTGAAACTTTTAGCCTCCTTATTGTGGTTCATATACAAACCCAAAAAGTTAAAGTCCTAAGAGCCAACCAGAAGAACGCCAAGTTTAGGGCAAGCTTACTGTCTGGCCTCTAGAGTCTTGCGGGTTTCGAGTTTTCGCACATACCCAAACCCTTAGGGTTTTTTAATAAGGACCTACAAAAAAAGTAGGATATGGTAGTTCAAGGTATAAAGGCAATTATTCTACATGCTTTTGGGGTCCAGGAAGGGCTTTCGGGGTTTAGGGTGCAGGATTTGGAAGTCGGAGGTTTGGATGTAGCGATTCTCACGGTGTTTCTGTCCAGGGATGCAATTCCTGGATTCTTGGGCATAATGTAGGGGCCTTAATGATTAGAATAGGGTTTTGGGGTGTATTAAACTATAACTAGAATAAGGAGCCCCCAAAATAATATAGCTAATCATTTAGGCTTCTTTTTGTCGGGTTTGGGAGCCTAAGTGCTTATGGCTTGGGGCTTTTGCAGTTTCGGGGTTCCGGGTTTAGGATTCAGGGAATGGTCCTTGGCTCACCAAACGCTAGCACGCAACCTTCACGCGAAATCCGAAACCCAATACCGAGCTGATTTAACTCGAAATGCCCGCCAACGAGGATTGGCTGCTTCCTAAATACGCTGCGCCTCCATGTCGCCAACAATCGTCGACAACAAACAACGGGCGGCGTTTCGGCTAAGCTGTTTACCACGCATCCAGTCGCCCTCACACTTCCAGGCGACCGGGAAAGGGAAAGCTGTCGCAAGCAGATTGTGGTCGTCTTGTCCGCTGCCATCGTCCTGCTTCTTGCCTTCATAAGTTCCCTAGAGCTTGCAGCCAGGTTTCCAGTGGCTCGACGAGGTGTCGGTGTTGTTCGACTGCTCTGCCTTCTCCTCGCACAACTCTAAGTGACGATCCTCATCCTCCGCTCGGGGCCGCGGCCGCGCTCCTCGAAGCCTAAACCCTAAACCCTAAATCATAAACCCTACACCCTAAATCATAAACCCTAAACCCTAAGCCCTAAACCCTAAACCCTAAGCCCCAAACCCTGAACCATAAACCCTGAATCCTAAACCCTAAACCCTATACCCTAAACCCTAAACCCCAGACCCTAAACCCTAAACCAAATAGAAACCCTAACAGCATGTAGGACGCCAGGCATCTTCGGACTCCAAAGAACGAGGAGGCTTCGGCTGATCCGGATGCGGTACTTAAACACCGCCCTTGGTGTTTGCGGTTTAGAGATTGAGGGTTTAGGGTTTAGGGTTTAGGGGTTTAGGGGTTTAGGGGTTTAAGGTTTAGAGATTAGGGGTTTAGGGTTTAGGGTTTAGAGATTCAAGTTTACGGCAGAACCAAAGAATTCATCATCCTATCAACGCTACCCTTATAGATGGCCGGTAGGCCGGTGCATCGTTGCCACAGAATGTGATCATCCAAACCCCTGTCTGGCTTCGCAGAGTTCGGAATTGGGTTTAGGGTTTGAGGTTTGATATGGCTGGGATCGGAAAGTCATGCGTGACGCATAGGTTCGCGATTTCGGCTAGTCCATATGCAAAAGTAGACCATTATTCTAAGCAGGAACGGAGGCCAGCCCCTGGATTCAGAAGTATACCTTATCCCTTATGTTCAGGGTCTCGGGGTTTAGGCTTTAGGGTTTAGTGCTTAGGGTCTAGAGGCATCATGATTTAGGGTTTAGGGTTTAGGGTAGTTTAGGGTTTAGGGTATATTCTTTACCGAAGCCATCTACCTCGACGAAGCTACTGGCGATGTCTCGGGCACGAGCCCTGGTGGGGTACTTGGAGGGTCGTGGGACTTAGTAAGTACGTAAGGAGTAGACTCATTATAGGTACCTTAAGAGGGATCCTAAAGTCTTTAGAACAACTACTTGCTACGTCCCTCGACCCTCCCATTAAGGGTCGAAAGTCGCCGTTCAAAGGGCAATCTACCTGGACGGCCGAAATGTCTTGCTGCCCCATGAAAGCGCGGAATGACAGCTAAATTCTGCGAATAGCACATACCCAGAAACGAAAGAAGGCATTCGAGAACGCTGTCTTTTTTCCTGGATATCTTAAGGGCCGAGACCCAAAATGTTGAGAGCCTAAACCCTAAACCCTTCATCCCGGGCCCTAAACCCCATATCCTGAAACCTGAAGATCGCCAATCCCTTACCCCCAAACCCTAAACCCCGATAACTTAGGACCCTAAACACCCCTAAAGGGAAAGCTGCCGATACTGCTCTTCAGGGGGCGAAACAAGAGGTACGCGCAGAATGTAACAGTGCTTCTGGCTGGCATCCAATTTCGCGTATGGGACGTTGCTCAAGAAAGAGAGCTAAGCCTTAACACCTTAAAATCCCACATCCTTGTGTAACGTTTTTGAGACCCTAGCAAAAACTGCACTGAGAACCCAGCAATAAAAACATAAACCCAAAACGCCTACCCCTTAACCCAAAGCCCTTAACCCAAAAACCTAAACTCAAAAACCCCAAACCCTAAACTCCCTGAACCCCGAAACACAAACCCTCAAGAACAAGAGGCTCCCTTGTGCGCCTCACGGTGCTCAAGGGGGTTCACGCCTGGCAGTCGACAAATTTAGTATTTGCTACATTGGAGGGTCGGGGGACTTAGTAAGTAGGTATCTTAAAGACCTATAAGTATCATGAACCCAAAATTAGAGTCCCGTTTAGGTTACTTATAAGTCTACTTACTACCTACTTATTTTGTTGGGCTTCCTACAGTTTTTCCGGCATTCCCAGTCTCGGATAGGATGTTTGTTATTGCTTTACGGTGATCTCTGCGAACAGTTATAACTATAGAGTTCTGTAGGGTTTTATGGCTTGTGTTACGGGATTTCAGAGCTCAGGGTTCCATATGGGTGGTTGTCAAAATTAGGGTCCTTTTTTGGGTACCCTAAATATTAGGTGCCGTATTCTATTACGGACCCAAAAAGACACCATAATTTTGACAACCACCCATATGTTCCGGTGCTAGACTTTGGGGCCTTAGGGTTTAGGGTTTTGGGGCTTTCGGGCTTGGGCTTCGGGGTGTTCGGGCATAGGGGCTTCGAGGTCTTGGCAGGCGGAGCTCGGGTAGTAGGAAGCCATTCACGTCGACCAGTCTGTGCCCCCTGGGAGACTCCCATCGCTGCGCGCAGCCTTCGCGATGCCCCGCCCTCCGCCGCGTAAGCGGACGTGGCCACCCGCCGCTGGTCTGCCGTCTCTGAGGGGTGCGCCGTTCGATCAGCGCGCGGGCAGTCCTCGCTCGCGGCGCGTCGTGGTCGTCGATTTTGATGCCTCCACGTAAAGGATCATCGATTTTGATGCCTCCACTTAAAGGATCATGGGACTTAGTAACTGAGGTTATAAACAAGGTAACTATACTTATAACCCCAATTCCGGTTATAACTTACTAAGTCCCAAGGATCCTCCAAGCAATCGGGCTGACCGCCCTGGAGGCCGAGTCGCTTTGCAACGAAACGGCAAGCCTGAGCCGCAGCCTCGCTGTAGACCTGGAGGGCCCTAAACCCTAAAGCCTAAACCCTAAACTCTAAACCGCATGAGATGAGACGGTTTCGCCAGAAGCCCGGATCGGGTGCGCAAGGACACCCCAAACTGAGGTAATGTAGGGGCCTTAATGATTAGACTAGGGTTTTGGGGCACGTTATACTATAGTTCGAACAGGGAACCCTAACAGAAAATCTTGGTAATCATTTAGGCCCCTTTCTTAAATCACCTTTGGTGTACAGTTAGCAGACAGGATCTAGTTTAAGCTGCAGGATATAGTTTAAGCTCGTTTACATTCTTAGCCTACCAACTTAGAGAGGGAATGCCAGATCGTGACAGTTCTCCACGGCATGTCATGGGCCACAGGCCAGCGGGTGTTGCCAAAGGCTTTGGGTTCAGGGCTTTAGGGTCAGATCCGCGGTTTGTGCTTCAGGCTTTATATGGGTAGTTCTCTAAATTAGGGTCCCCTTTTGGGGTCCTTATAATAATACGGCACCTATTATTTAGGGTACCCCAAAAGGGACCATAATTTTGACAACTACCCATATAGATTTTGAGGTTTACGGTATCGGATTTAGGAGTCTCCTGGGCAACCCCAAAAACCCCAACCGACTAAATACGTCGTCCCAAGCTCCCATAGTGGCTCCAGGAAAAAGCACCTTTCCTAAATCCCTACAGGCTCTGCACCACAGAGCAACCCTGCAAACCCAGTCGAAGCCCTGCAACAGCGTATAAAATCCTGTCTCGCCCCTCTGTCCCACAACACCCTAAACCCTAAACCCTAAACCTTACAAAATAATTAAAGCAATTCCTCGACCCCTCGAAAACTCCCTGAAACGTGACCACAAACCTGAAAGCCCTGAACCTTGAAACCCTAAAACTTAGAACCCCGTGAAGAGACTGAAAATCCGTTCAGGGTTTAGGGTTTAGGGCCCGACCCCAAACCGAAAGCAAAACCCCTAGAACCTGAACTAAAGCCTAAACGCCTAAACCCCTAAACCCCTAAACCCTAAAGCCTAAACCCCTAAAGCCCTAAGCCTAAACCGAGCTGCTTTCGTCCTTAAGGTGGGGCTTCTTTTTCGATGGGGCCTCCTCCTGCGCCTTACGAG